GTATGTGATATAAATGAAAGAGAATGCTGTAGAAACTGAATATTATTTATTTTATTGATTGATTACGAATTATCAACCTTTTCGGGGTTATTTTTATATAGGAATATGGTGTTGCAGACGACACTTGAGTTTGAACATAGATCGCCAGTGAACAAACACAGGCGATCTCATTATTGAATTAGGTAGATTACGTAACCATAGAGGAAACGCGTATATACAGAAAGTCGCGTAGATGTCTGGATGTTCTCTATCTCTAGTCTATCCTCTATATTATATGGTTCGCTATTCCTTGTCTATCCTCTATTATTCATACCGTTATTCTCTATAATATTTCTCTATTTGGATTATAATGCGAGACACTATTAGTGCGAGTGTTATTCGAAGGCGTCTGACACCAGTATTGTTCAACGGCGTTACTATAGTTGTACCTGCGATTACAAAGTCTCTACTACAACAAGCATTAAGAAAGTAACACAGAATATTCGTTGACATCACAAAAGTGACAATTAGTGTACGTTAATATCAAAAAAATTAAATTAACTTGATTTTGAGCATAGATCGCCAGTGAGCAAACACAGGCGACTCCATAATTTAATTAAGTAGACCATAGTGGAAACACATATATAGGAAGTAGCGTGACGTATAAATGATCCTCATTTCTCCGCTATCCTTTATTACTATACGGAGCGCTATTCTCTACTCAATTCGGATCACTATACGGATTACTGTTCGAGCAAGTACTATTGGTGTGAGTGTTATTCGAAGCGTCTGACACTAGCATTGTTCAACGGTGTTACTATAGTTATATCTGCGATTACAAAGTCTCTACTACAACGAGCATTACGAAAGTGACAACGAATATTCGTTGACATCACATAAGTGGCAACTAGTGTTCGATGACATCACAAAATTTCATATATTGCTATTTTCGTATCAGTTTTGTCATTGAGAAATCTTGATAATTAGTATTTTCTCCCGCTCACAGACCGCAGGGATCTTTTTTTAAAATAACATGTCCTTTCGTAATATAGGTGATAATAAGCTCTCCACAAATTCATTTTCGCGTGCTGTAAGCTTGGTTGTGAGTGTAGTGTAATAGATAATAACTAATGCGTTTAGGAAGGCCATATAGTAAAGAGCAATATTCAGAAAATTATAGGCATTCATGCACTGAGCAGCCAATACCGCTTTTGGTTGAAACTTATAAAATCTTCCTCTTAAAACAATTTTTCAGAAAAATAGGTTACTTCAGTAGCTTTTCATTATATAGGAATAAAGTGTTGCTGTCGACTCTTGAGTTGGAACATAGATCGTCATTGAGCAAACACAGGCGATTCCATTATTGAATTAAGTAGGCCACATGACCATAGTGGAAACATATATAGGAAGTAGCGTGACGTCTAAATGATCCTCATTTCTACGCTATCCTCTATTACTATTTGGATCGCTATTCTCTACTCGACTCGGATCACTATACGGATTACTGTTCGAGCAAGTACTATTAGTGGGTATGATATTCGAAGGCGTTTGACACCAGTATTGTTCAACGGCGATACTACAGTTGTATCTGCGATTACAAAGTCTCTACTACAACGAGCATTACGAAAGTGACAACGAGTATTCGTTGGCATCACATAACTGGCAACGAGTGTTCGTTTTTATCATAACAGTTGTCTAAAGCCGAAACATATTCTTGGATTATAAGAACTTTTTTGGGTGATAATAATGATTTTCTGATACATTTTAACATATACCTTTTAGAAGAGGTTGATTCATACATTTTTCGTAAATGAAACCCACTGGAATTTGAACTACGGTCTTCGATTTCTCATTCCGAGTCGTTATCCATTGCACCACCCGCACATCGAAGTTTACAGCATCTTGTATTCCCAAGTGATCACCCATCCATGTAATGACTAGGTTCGACTATTACTATTGTTTCTTTTAAACAGTGACAGGAAGCTAGTAACATCAAAATTCACAACAATTACCATCTCGAAAATATAACCGTCTGATTTAACTAAATTCTTATCTAAAGCGCAACTTCCGTTTCTTGAATTTACACAATTATTCGGTTTTTACAGCGTATCAGTTTTCTTTTCGTATTTTTATTATTACCGGAAATAAAAAGAAAACTCAAAATAAACTGGCGTAGTCAAAGGTGAAAAAAAAAAAAAAAAGGACTTAAATTACGGGAGTAAATAATGAAAAGAAAAACGACAAAAAAAGATAACGATATCATTCTTTCTACGTGTCTTTATTAATTTACGTTTCTTTATTAATTTACGAGCGAGACACAAAATATATATATATATATATATATATATATATATATATATAAACAGGAAGAGAAAAAGCAGATAAAGAAATTCTATCATCATTTGTTATAAGACGCAAAGCATTAGGAATAAATTTGTAGGCTTTCATTACATTACATCTACAATCTCTGTAAACAGACACAAACACGCGCGTGCGCACAAATGCCTGCAAAACTTAAGTTAATGCTATCGTCAGATTAAACTCGGTCTCGCACAGGTTGCAAATAGTGACGCATTTAGAATCAAATGAGGTATTCTAACAAATAATAGTTCATAAGTACTCTTAAATATTTACTAAAATCTGCCAAAATTCTAGGACAAGATAGTGCCTTGTGCGGCTCAAATATTCCCTATCAACAAATATAACATCACTGGCGATTAATGTACAAAATGCGCCCTTGAATATTTTCACAAGCGTACTTTTGCACAAGGCCGTAATAATGGAGTGCTTACTGAAGATCGTGCTCAATACCCTACCAACTTGATAGAAGGATGAGCCTCCAGTTCACTAGTGTTATTTATCAGATCTGGCACAAGTGAGGCAGATATGGCTCAATTTTTTCTATGTTTATTGCCGTGAATAGATCCAGTCGGCGGTGATGAAAAAGATGGCGGTATGGGACAATTAGAAAAACAGAAACGTTAGGGGACGGCAGAATGGCATTAGAACCAAGCAATAATTTTTCTGTTTTCTACAAATTCTGCATGTTCGAATAAAAGACATTTATACTTAGGAAATACGCATGCTCTGCAAAGAAACCAATTAATAATTATACACGATCTTATGGTCTTATTTTTATTTTGTTGTCTAATGTTAAAATCCGAACTTTTGTTTAAATCTTGCTGATTTATCCTGGTGAAAACGTGCCACAAACCAGCAAGTCGACATCTGCATGTGACAATGCTCAAGTGTTGCAGATATAGCAACGGATTTTTGTCTTGCAAAATCGTCTCTAACGACTACAAAGAATTCTGAATAGCCTGCTACATAAAAGAAGAACGTTTATACAAAGTTATAGACATGAATGAGGCTGCTGTAATGGATAGTGACTTGGAAATTGAAAGCGGAGATTCAGGTTCGAATTCCAGTCAGTTTCGTCATATTCACTTACACGCAAATACCCGTGGGGATGGTATTAACCCATCTACCGACATCAGATATGGATTAAATAATAGGACATGTTTAGAAAAAAATATTGTTATTTTTAAAAGGATGTTTAATGCAATATTCACACGTAAAATAAAAAAAAAAATTATTCTTGCACTCCAAAATATATTATGACTTCAAATAAATTAATTCTTACTTGCATTATTTACATTATTCGGACTGTTATTCTCATCTTCATTGCCATATTCACAACGTTTCGGCCGTTGTACGCTCCGGCCTTTTTCAAGTGATTCGAATTTCCTCAAGAACACATGGCTCAGTGGATAATGACGTTGGTTAGATCCAGTGTCTAGACCCAAAGAGTTGTGATTTCTATACCAGGCCACAGCAGCAGTGAACGAAAAACTTCGAGAGTTGGGTTAAAGGGAAATAACTGAGACATCCAGAAGAGGCATGGAACGTGGAAGTAGAACAATCTACCCCTGTGGGCGAAATAAAGGGTTCAGTTCGAAATTTCATTCACCTGAAGAAGGACGTAGCGTACAGCGGCCGAAACGTGAATATGTCAATGAAGATGAGGATAACAGTCCGAATAATGTAAATAATGCAAGTAATCATAATTCCTCATCTCAAATATATAGTGAGAAATGAATTTTTGCTCTAATATCTCAGGGAGTGCAAAAACACTGATTTGACATTACTGCATATTGCTTTATTTAAATTTACTGATTTATATATATCATTTGTTCAGTTTTTGCATAATGTTTCGGTTCTAAATGTCGATATTTGAACTGGGAAGATCCCTTTTCCCCACATTCCTTCCTCTAATTCTCTTGATGTCCCCGAGGCTTATATATATATACAAAATAAGTTGCGACACATGGTCTGAAGATCGGCTGAGGCGTTAAACTGTTATATCCTATATTTATAGCCTGCAGTATGAATATAAAATATTACGCCAATTTCCAACGTGAAAAGCATACATTTTTATGCGACACTCGGCACTTCCGACCCCCGTATGGATAAACTGACTAATTTTAGAATAGGAGCCAACAGATCTTAAGCCAATTTTCAACGTGATGAGTAAACATTTTCGCATTCCCGATCCCCAAATGTATAATTTAAGAATTGGAGCCCCAAAACCTATCAGCTTGTTATAGATTTGTCTTGTTTACTTTCTTTTTCAACTTGAAATTATCCGGCTGCGTTGGCTTCCACCAATATCTTGTATTGTGACGGCTGCATTCTGCCACGCCCACTCGTTGGAGCATGCCTCTTCCCGCGTTGAAGCTGAGTGGTGGCTGGCTGCTATAGTTGCTAGCGATTCTGTCCGACTCACTACTATGTGGCTGCTTGTTTGTAAAGAGAGAAAAAGAATTAATGAATGAACCGGCCAGCAGTTGGCTTGTCTTGCATACAAACAATGAATGGAAAGCGACTACATGAATGAAGGAGACGAATGAATGGGCGTATCGCGACAAACTCGCAATGACGTAAATGACGTCAGAAGCGATCCGTTTCGCTTTTTCAGTTTACATGCGACATATAAACTAAATGCATAGATAATACGTAAAATGTTCTGTCCATTTTTACATTTGCATTTCTATCTTTATCTATCTATGTATCTATCTATGTATCTATCTATCTATTTATCTATCTCTTGGCATCTATCTATCTATAAATTTCAATCTCTTTGCATCTATTCATCTATCTATCTATCTATCTATCTATCTATCTATCTATCTATTACAGTCTATTTGGATCTATCTATCTATCTATCTATCTATCTATCTATCTATCTATCTATCTATTACAGTCTATTTGGATCTATCTATCTATCTATCTATCTATCTATCTATCTATCTATCTATCTTGAAAATAAATAGTATGATAGATGCCAAGAGATAGATAGATAGATAGATAGATAGATAGATAGATGCAAAGAGGATTGGAAAGATAGATATTAGATAAAGGAGGTATTTATCTATTTCACCTTTCTTTAAATTCATTCATTCATTCATTCATCTACATCTATCTATCTATCATTCATCTATTTCAGTCTGCTCCTTATCTATCTATTCATCCATCCATCTATCCATCTATCCATTCATTCATCCATTTCAGTCTGTCTCTTTATCCATCTATTCATTCATCTATCTATCTATTCATCTATCCATCTCCATCTATCTATCCATCTATTTCAGTCTGCTCCTACCCATTCATCTATTCATCTATCTAGTTCAGTCTGTTTCATTATCTATCTGTCTGTCTAGGTCTAGTCTATCTATCTATCTATCTATCTATATCTATCTATTCGGTATCCATGCATCTATCTATCCATATCTATCTATCTATTTAGTCTATCTTTATTATCCATCTATCTATCTATATCTATCTATCCATCTATCTATCTATTTCAGTCTCTTTACATCTATCTATCTATCTTGAAGAAGATAGATGCCAAGAGATAGATAGATTGATAAATGGAAAGAGATTGAATAGATAGATATATATCTGCCTCAATCTCTGATGCATTTATTCATTCATCTATCTATTCATTCATCTATCTATCTATCTAATTCTTCACTATCGAACATTCATTCCATTCACCATATCTATATGATAAGTAGCAGTAACTACTGATGACGTTAGTTACAAACTTTTAGATTTAATTCATATATTCTGATAGGAAAATCGATAAGCTATGTTATTTCTGGTTTTTAAATATTATTTATAATTCCTCCCACAATTGCTTTTGTTTATGTGTTTCTCTCTCTCTCTCAAACAACCAATATATATATATATATATATATATATATATATATATATATATATATATATAGTATATATTCTCAGGATCAGGTCTCATTCACTCATGTTTCATTAAATAATATCGACATTATGTTATTTCTTTTATAATAATCCAAGTCACATTCTCTAACCGGTTAGTATTAAAGATATAAAAAGTGCGTGTTTACAACTTCCGTTACAGCTATAACATTTGCATTAAGTTTATGTTCGCAATTCACTGCTGATAATTATCTCGAAGGGAGACCGAAAGTTCCTGTTGTTAACATGAACTACAGCGCCTTCATTGATGAATTTCAGGATAGCATCAAGAAGATAAATATGAATGAGAAATGATAGAGAAATAAATATAGATATCTTTTTTATTGAATATATGATTATACATATATATATATATATATATATATATATATATATATATATATATATATATATATATATATATGCCTATATATATATATATATATATATATATGCATATATTCATATATTAACTCATCAACTATATATATATATATATATATATATATATATATATATATATATATATATTATAAAACAATTTTTCAATCAATTTACAAAAATGAATTTTAATAAAAACAAATACAAAGGTTAATAGGTTGTATATTATTTGAATTGTTTATGACGATGGATTTCTCGCCAATTAAATCATTAACCTTTGCATTTGTTTTTTGTGTGAATAATTCATAATATATATATATATATATATATATATAGGGTATATATATATATATATATATATATATATATATATAGGTAGTTATAAATATATATATATATATATATATATATATATATATATATTAGGTAATGAATTTTATATATATATAATTAACTCATCAACTCTATATAATGATATATATATAATATATATATATATATATATATATATATATATATATATATATATATACTCGTGCAATGTATAAAATGGTCGTTCAAATTACGCAAAAATGAAATTAATACTGGCATCTCATTTTAAGTGATATATTTACCAATATTACACGAAATTAAAAAAAGAAAAATCTTGAATTACTAAAGAGTAAATTTATTCAATAACATCGCCATTCGCTTCAACCACGACTTCCAGAGTACTTCGGAATCTCCTGCATCGCTTCCGGACTGTCTCCTTGTTTACGTTGGTGAATGCTGCCATAATCCTTACCTTCAATTTATCTTTGGTGTTACAAAGAAATTTCTAATCACTTGCTCAAATGCGACCCACACATAATAATCCAGGGGGTGAGGTTGCAGTCTGGAGAGTTAGGTGACCAGATGTAAGGAGTGATGTGGTCGCAGAAATTGTTTGACTTCTGCCTGTGTGACATGGTGCAGAGTTATTTTGCCAGACATAGGATCTTTCAGCAGGCATTCTCTTGACTCAGAGCAGCACTAGCATCTCAGGGCACATGATGTAGGCCACTGTGTTGAGTCTGAGACCCTCAGCAACAAATTCAAGTTTTTTTTTTCTTATCAGAACGATCAGAGTGACTTTCCGAGCGGCCACATCTTGGTAATTACCATTCTAATGATCTAACCCAAGGTTTCATAAAAATACGGCCTGCGGGCTGGATTTGAAACGTGAAGCATTTCTTTGACCCCGCTAGCCTGATTACCAATGATTATTTTTAACATGAGAGACGAGGCTTTGGAAAAGACTATCTACCAGTTATCTTTCATGAGACTTAGTTTACCAATTGCGTTTACGTTTAATGTCAAATAATGGACATATTTGTTATGACCTTAGCACATTAAAAGATAATGAACAAGGAACGATAAAGTGAAAGAGGCCAGGGAGAGACTGACTGACGTGAGGTAGCAGAAATCTAAAGACAGTTAATCATACGCGCATTATACATTTTGAACGTGGATGATACCGCATGCGTAACGTACGTAAGTTATGTTTGCAACTATTTGTACTGTATGTATGGGTATATGCGCACATTTTTTTTTGTTTGATGTGTGCGTGTGGTTCGTTTGTGGAACAATTTTCAATAACAGTTTCAAACCTACACGTCATAATTTCATCCATTTCACTTCGGTTGATTTTTCACTTTGAAGTATTTTGACGTTCCTTGAGGAAAAGTAATTTTTTGTTGGTGTTTTTTTAATTTTAGATTTTCTGATTTCTCAATGTTTATTTTCATTCTGGTTTTAAATATTTAGGTTGACAGGGGTCTGCATATGTAATTTTTCTTAATTTTTCATTAATGGCCTTCGTCCGGCCCGCGACCCGTCATTATAACACGATCCGGCCCGCGGGGTCGAATGAGTTGCCGACCCCTGATCTAACCCTTTCGTAATCCTCTGCATTGTACTCAGATAGACACTCAAACACACTGAAATTGTTGCATTCGAGCTTCCGGAGGGAATGTCAAGCAGTACAGCATGTAGTATACAGATTTCTGTTCGGGTGAATTGCATCATGGTCTTCTTTTTCTTACAGGCGGTGACCTTACCATACTGTGAATTCGAAGTTGATCCGACACTCAAGTCCGATAACACCATGAAGTCTCCTTCCTAACAAATCGACCATGGTGATATTCTAAGCCAAGTATATATAAATATATATACACATTTATTTATATACATGCACAATGTATATGGCTGTGTGCGTTAATATTGGGTTTTCATAATTGAAAAATGATTAAAAAATATAACAATTAATTAATTTCATAATCAGGCATAACTACAAATTAATCACTTTATATATCACAGCATTAAATATAGAAAAATGTTCTTTTTTAATTTCTATGCACTCGTGGCCTATACAGACGTGAGAGGTGTGCGACAAATTTAAAACTGGACAAAAATTGGCTTGATCATTCATAAAGCATCTGCAACAGAAAAAAATGTTGTTTGTAAATTTCTATGCAGTTGTGGCCCATACATAATGAGAGGCGTTCGACCAATCTAAAATGGACAAACAAGAGGCCCGATCAGTCATAAATTATCTGTAATAGATCTTTGTTAATTTCTATGCAAATATGGACCATACAAACGTGAGAGATATGCGTCGAATCTAAAAATGAAAAAAAAAATAGGAACGATCAGTCATAAACTATTTGCAATAGAAAACTTTTCTTTGTTAATTTATAACGCACTTGTGGCCTATACAAACTTTACAGGCGTTCGATCAATCTAAAAATGAACAAAAAGAGGCCAGATGAGTCCTAAAGTATCTGCAATAGAAAGATTTCTTTGTTAATTTTATCTACTTGTGGCCCGTACAAACGTGAGAGCCGTTCGGCCAATTTAAAAATGGGAAAATGAGGCCCAATCAGTCATAAATTATCTGCAATAGAAAGATCTTCTTTATTAATTTCTATGAAGATGTGGCCATACAAACGTGAGTGGAGTGCGACCAATTTAAAAATAGACAAAAAAGAGGCCTGATCAGACATGAAATATGTGCAATAGAAACGTATGGCACACAAGGAAATCCATTTGTGCTGACGCTTTCTGAAGATTCCATATCCGATGCATCTTTGAAGAAGTGGGCTAGGTAATTCAACTGGGGGGAAGGGACATCTCAGAATATGACCCTCGGTCAGGTCGTTTAATCATCTCAACCACTGATGGGCATGTTGATGCCTTTCAACGTATGATTTTGGATGACAGTCGTCTTACTGCCCAGAAGATAGCTAAGTTCGTAGCCATCAATTTCCGGTTCTGTCTATACTGTTTTAACAGAGATCTTGGGGATGAGCTAATGGTCTTCAAGATTGGTCCCAATAATTCTCACACCAGAGTAGCAAGCTGAAAACTGTTGACATTTCCAAGACACTTCTGATTGGCTTCCAGGCTGACCCTGAGAAATTCCACCGCAGATTAGTAACTCGTCCCAATAATTCTGACACCAGAGTAGCAAACTGAAAACTGTTGACATTTCCAGAACACTTCTGATTGGCTTCCAGGCTGACCCTGAGAAATTCCACCGCAGATTAGTAACTCGTCCCAATAATTCTGACACCAGAGTAGTGGCTGAAAAACTGTTGACATTTCAAGACACTTTGATTGGCTTCCAGGCTGACCCTGAGAATTTCCACTGCAGATTAGTAACTCGTCCCAATAATTCTCACACCAGAGTGCAAGCTGAAAACTGTTGACATTTCCAAGACACTTCTGATTGGCTTCCAGGCTGACCCTGAGAATTTCCACCGCAGATACGTAACTCGTCCAAATAATTCTGACACCAGAGTAGCAAGCTGAAAACTGTTGACATTTCCAAGACACTTTGATTGGCTTCCAGGCTGACCCTGAGAATTTTCCAACTGCAGATTAGTAACTCGTCCCAATAATTCTGACACCAGAGTAGCAAGCTGAAAACTGTTGACATTTCCAGGACACTTCTGATTGGCTTCCAGGCTGACCCTGAGAATTTCCACCGCAGATTAGTAACTCGTCCCAATAATTCTGACACCAGAGTAGCAAGCTGAAAACTGTTGACATTTCCAAGACACTTCTGATTGGCTTCCAGGCTGACCCTGAGAAATTCCACCGCAGATTAGTAACTCGTCCCAATAATTCTGACACCAGAGTGCAAGCTGAAAACTGTTGACATTTCCAGGACACTTCTGATTGGCTTCCAGGCTGACCCTGAGAATTTCCACCGCAGA